TTGATAAAATACACTCTTTTTGCCTTATAAAAAGTTTATGAATAGGAACTATACCTCCTTCTATAAAGTCATCTGTATTGTCAAAGTATGGACTCTTCCATACAAACCAAGCTCTTATCAGTATTTGTCAGTAAACTTAGTATCTTACAGACCCCAAACACTTGACAATGAATTAACTTTTAAGATATGATGCACACCTACACTTTGAAATCACTTCATACCACAGCGCTACTACCTCATCCTGAAGCTACTGACCTAAAGAACTCAGCTGAAGCTCAAACTCAGCTCTTGTATATACAGAGCACTTCCATGGTATGTCCCGCTAGTTGGTATAGTAGGAAAAGTCTAAAGGTTGCTTTTGATCCTCCAGTTTGTATCCAGCAACAGCTGTACAAAAGGCTGAGTTATTAATGCTTCACAAGTCTGGAAATACAGCAAGACAAGAAATCTGACAGTGCAGATCACTGTCACTGTGGATAGCCTGCTAAGAAGCTAATTACACCCAAAGTTAATTTGCTAGTAAGTTCATTTTTGTAGGCCAGCTTTCTAGCATAATGAATAAATACGTGTTCACTTCAATACAATAAAAAATGAAAAGCTAGGCACCGTAACTTATTTACAACACAGCTATAGGCCCTGACTGCAAAGCACTTAGCTCCAGACATTAATCAGTCCCTTTCAATTCAGTGGGGCAAGTATGTGTATATGAGTAAGTGTTTACAAAATTAAAGTTAAAAATAATCCAGTAAATGAGACCTTTATAACAGGATGGTTCCCTTTCTCATTTAATTCTTTATGGTAGTAATACCACTGACTTCACTTAAAAAAGAATTAAATTCTGATAGTTTATTAAGACATGGGTCTTTAATTCACTTTAAGCAAATGTAAAAGACTGTAGAGTTCTGTCCTGAATTTGCTGCTATTCAGTTTCTTAATACTGTGGATGATAGAATATTGTATTTACTTTTTTTAAATCAGTAGATGACACTAAACTGCAGGTGCTGTAGCTGCTTAGAGGGAAACAATTCAAAACACACCTGAGTAAAGTGGAGAAATTATCTGATATCAAGAGCATAAAATTACCTGAAGGCCAATACAAATTATTATCCTTGGTGAGTAAAAAGCAGATGCATAGTACAGTGACTCTTTTAACATGGGATTTAGAAGCTACAGACATATCCTTAATAATATACTGTTGGGAGATGGGGAGAAGAAAAAAAAAAAAAGCCTCATTCCAGGAGGTATTACATAGGGTATCGTATATACGGTACATGACATAACTGTTCCACTTTTATACAACTAATAGTTCCACTGGTTGCACTAGTAAAGTCTCAGCTGGAGCACTCTGTTTAACATGGGGAATTAGACATCAATAAAGATGTCTATGAACTGCATATGAATTGGCACAAGTCTAAAGGAGAGCAAGTACTGTCATTCCAAGTCTAAAAGACAAGACTTAGGACAGACCAAGTTAAATCCTTTTTTCTTTATTCCAGAAAAGACATAAACAGTAGAGGCAGGAAGATGCATGATAATAGTCTTTAAACTGATTATCTTTCATACATGGAGAAAACCTGATAAATACCTTAATCGTATTTTATGTATTTAGCTTGCAGAAATAAAGATTTAGGTAGGTCAAGGGGGGGAGTGGGAAGCATTCTAGTGATGAGAATAGTAAAAACTGTAATTGGCTGCATAAGGATGCTGCAGAAATCACTATTACTAAGCGTTTTAAAAACACATTAGCCAAACATTTGCCAGGCAACCCATGTATATGTGACCCTAGAGCGTCCAAATTACCTCTGAAGGTGCCTTTCAGTTGTACACAAGAAAAGTTTTACTCAGACTTCATCTCCATAAACAAATTAATGTGACTTACCATTAATAGAGCTTTTATATGCACTTTTCCAGTTTTATCCAATGTTGAACACTGATCTAGTTCTTATATTTCAATGCCACATACACATTATAATAATTTCTAATTAATTATTGGGACTCTATGCCTATCCAGCTGTTTACATACATAGGAGATCCAAAGGATAGATTTAACACAGTAGAATGGTGACTATCCAAATTGAAGAGAAAATATTCCCGAAATACTAAGGAACAAAATATGACCTGTTTCACTACTAATATGCAGCAACAAGACCACAGTAAGCATATTACACAGGTAGAGCTGTCTCCTTGTATTCAACAAAGAACAAGCCACAAAACAAAGTCAGCCAGATATGAAATGTGTGATCCCTGGGCCTCAAATACTTTACCGACCTGTATGCCTTCAGTTTGATAAAAGGAGTTCCACCAGGCACTACTGCTCAGTACCTAAAATGTCCTCAGTTATACAGGTTTCATAAAAGAAAGGCTTATTTTAACTCAAGAGTTCAATTCGGTAGACATGAAATGATGCCTGTGCCTAGTAGCATGTTATTTACGAAGGCTCTTTTCTTCTTCAAAATTATAGCACTCTATCCTAGACAAGCCATTACAAGAGCAAAAAGTAGTTTTGTACTATTGCAAATAAACTGAGAATACCAGCACTAACAGAATTGTAAGAGTATGTAATCAGGTTAAAACTAGAAAATGAAAACTAAGATCTCCTCCAGTTTGAGTTACTTCTTGAAACCCTATAAACTTAAATTAGGCAATGAGAGTCTAATTTTCTGGGGGTTTTTGTTTTGTTTTTTCTTCTGTTGAGGTTTGTCTGTTGCTTAAGAAAAAACACAGAACAGGGTCACTAATTAGGAGGATACTCAGTATTTAATTTTATCATTTAACATTTCAAGCTATATCTTCACACTTCTTATTGCACATCTTCTGGATATCACTTTGAACAAGATATTTTGTTACATGTTATTGCATAAACTCTACTGAGGTATCTCTACTGTATTTCACAAACATAAAGAAACCAAATCTCACAACATGGTGTGAGTTGAGAAAGTAACATGCCCCCTTCTACAAACATAGAACAAAGGTATAGAAAAGATGAGATAAAATAGTAATTTTGAGGTGCCTTGTTTGCATCCCAAAGAGCAAGGATTGGTCCTGTTAATTACAACAAATGGCTGAATTTGCAGATTATGTAACATTAGCTGAACATGTGCTTAGGACTGTTACAAGTCCAGACCCAAACGCTGAAAGTTAGGCAGTGAAAAACTAAGATACACTGGTATCGAGTTGTAAAAAGTACAGTTTAAGCATAAAATAGTTACATTAACTTTTTTCTTTCAATAAGCCAAGCAGAAAGCCAGAAACTCTACCATCTATTGGAGCCTTTAAATCAAAATAAACCCCTGCTATGTCAGCAAAAACAGTAACCTGCAAGAGTCATAGGTTTTCATCTTTTCCATGGGCCAGGTACTAGAATGCTGAATATACATTGATTCAGACATAAATAAACAAACATATGATGCTAAAGTCTCCTGGATTCAGCAACAGGTAACATTGTAGGGACTATTTTACTGTCCAACCTGATGCATGTTATTCCTTTCTCCCAGTATTTTTCATTCCTTACTCATATTCGGTGTTAGTCTTACCAAAATGAGTTGCCTTAAAGCTGGCCAGCAGTTTCTGGCAAAAAATTATTGGTTTCAGGTGAGGACTCTCTACATTTCTGACAGTGGGATAGACAGTCCTTCCCGTCCTACTGTAGTGAGCACATACATACACACCCCCACATACATGTAGATTTGTACATATACTCACACAAACACGTGTAACAGTTCAAATTATGTCATTAACATACTCAGATGTAAAAAACCTGGGTTTCAGAACCTTCACTCTAAACTGTGCAGAGAATACATGACATAAATCCATGTCAAGTAAATCTTCTGCAAAGCAAGCTAATTCCTGCTTTGGGACGTGTCTCTTTCTAGTTTGCAAATTTAAACACATACACACAAAATGTCTAGCTTTTGTCCCAACACTGAAGACTGAAAATATCTTTAGGTTTGAAACCATTATTTCTGGCTCATTTCTACAGTTTCTCCCTTTGCCTTTAACTCAGATTATTTCTTCTCATTCATAGTACCTAGGGACGAGTGGTGATGGCGGCAAGACAATTCCCATTTCATCGCCTAACTCCAACTTGATGTCATCCCAGAATACAAGGAACACTATTAAAGACAAGCGAGGCAGCAGGGATCCCAAGTTGAGCAAACACTTGGTTCAGTCATGCGCTAGGATACCACAGTCAAGAAGAGAGTTTTTTGTGTTCTGTGACCCAGAAAAAGAATTGAATGAAAATGGTATTGGCTCACCACAGATGAGCCTGGGGGAATAGTAGTGCCCAGATCTGCCAAAGTTCTGCTTGAGCAAACAGAAAAAGGAATTTTCACACAAGCTTTCAACCAGTAAAATCTGATGCATTTCTACACAGATGCCCAAAAAAACTCACCCTGACAAACAGTAAGTAAGCTTCCTGATATGTGCCAAGACACTAACGTTCACAGTACAGAAGGACTTTATCTTCTCAAATAAATTATTACAATAAAATTTTAATTTAATCAAGAAATAATTCTCAGAAATATCTGGACTAGTTTCACTGAAGTGTTGCAAAATAATCACATGCCATGTGTGGAAAATTTCAACCATACACGGGTAAAATGGGGAGCCTTAGAAGTAAAATGGGAAAATAGTCTTAGATTGGAAAGTACCTGACCATCTTAAATATAGCCATCTTAAGTATAGGCCTCTCTCCAAAGAGGATATTGGCTGTAATACTTCAGTTTTATTCTGATCTTAATCAAAAAAAAAGAAAGCTTAAATCATCTAACAACACTCCTTCAGATAATTTTTGTTAAAAAAACACAGCAAGAACTACAGAAAAAAAAAAAAAAAAGGAAAACAAAAAAACCCAAAACAACAAACAAAACAAAACATTCACACAAATCATTTGACAAACTGAATATAAATGAGGCTAGCAGATAAGTAATTACCTGGAAAAAAACCTGTAACAACAAAAACCCCAAACAGTAGTGATAAGATAGTAAGTACAAACATACCTTGTCCTTGAGGAACTCCGTAAAATTCAGCAGCTATCCTTGCTGCTTCCTTACGGTTTCCTTTCACAATGTAGAAATGACTAAGTATAGCGAGGCTGATCTTCACAAAAAGTTTAAAACAAAAAAGTGAAAGTATGGTAAAGTAGACATTGGATAGCTGCTGGGCAAAAGGGCGACTTTCTTCTATGACAGTCATTGCTGCAGCAAAATCTCTCTCAGTGTTTGGGTAGGGCTCTCAAATGTGTTGATAAGATCATATGGCTTCAGCCACGCACACTTGGGAACAACTGGTCCTGAGGAAAGAAAATATCAGCTGGTCATGATGCTTGCTGCTCAAAATATGACGATTATTTATACTGTATATAGTATTGAGTTCACTACCATTCCTGCTAGCCTGATGGTATTCAAGTGGGACAGAACATAACAGACACAGGTTCCAAAACTCTGGATTGTACTTGTTCCACTTAAAAGGCCTGTTTCATTCCCAATTCTGCATTTCTAACTCATTTATTTACCCTATTAGTACATGTTTAAAAATACACTGCCAAAAGTACTATTATTAAGAACTACAATTTCATGTACTAACCCAGGTAACTCAGGCAATCAGTTTTTGTTTAAGTTCTCCTGCTTCTTAAGTACAATTGCTCTTTTGTGCTACTTCATTTTATATTAGACTAATATTTTTTTTCTTACAAAACCAGAACCACATCAATAAATACTTAAAATGCACATTAATAAAGAAACAGAAAGATAGTACAAACTAACTTTGACAGTTTCTCATTGTTTTGTTAAGGCTGATTGAAAATATCCAGTACACATGGCTTATATCATTACACAAAAAGCAGTATTCAGAGCAGATTGTAAGAATCAAACCCTTAGATATTTTTATAAATAAGATCTTGGAGCACCTAAAATGAATTAAAATGTAATTAAAATTAAATGCAATGGTAAATATACATTGAAAAATGTTAATGCTTATGACACACATTTCATTGTGCTGCATCGTATTATTTTAAAACCATGACATGTCTTTACTTCTTGAATCTAAAGAAAGGGGAATCTAAATTCCTCACTTTTTTTTAAGAATTAATTTGCTTATATTCCATAAAGTTATTACTCACAGTCACCAGCAGTTACACACAAGTTGTTCCCTTAGTGTGAGTAATTGCTGAGTAAATAACAGTGTCACAACATGATACAAGCTGAGGAGCTTCAGGAAAGAACTAGATTCATAAGTAAGCTATAACCCTAAAACAAAGAATCATGGCAGCATAGGAAAGGGTCCTGTTCTAAACTTTTACATATCCGCTTAAATAAAAGTGTCTTGAATTACTCTACCCATAGTAATCTTAAACTGAAACACCCTTTCTTTCAATCCTAGATTCTCTTGTTTGACGGTCAGAAAAAAAACATTTTAGAATGTTGGCAACTGTCCATCAGGAACAGAGGGTACGATCCAAGTGTCACTGCATCCACAGATCCCCCTGACTTCAATGAACAGCTTAGCAGACATTAGGGATACAAAATAAAGAACCTCTTATCATCCAACTCCAGGAATAATTTACTAGAGTAAGAAACTATAATGTTTTCTGGGAACTACATTCAAATAAACCTATATAAATACAGACAATGATAAAAGGAAATGTGCTTGGAAATAAATGTCAAGATTCTTAACAGGGACTGAAGTGTGCTTGTCTTGAGAGAAACAGACATTCAGTCTTCTTCTTTGAAAATAATTTAATCCACATAAAAGTCAAAATAGTAACTAGAAAAGGCAATTAAAAAGCAATTTACGCTGTAAACTATATATTTTCTCCTAAATTTCATTTATAGACATTTTCTCATCCAGTCAGAATAGGAACTGCTCTCTTCATACCATAGTTAGAAGCAGGAGTGAGTACTTAAAATGCCAAATGAAAATCCCTTTTTATATTTGGCACATTGTTATCTGACACTGAATTGAGGTGTCATGTTTTCCATACGGATAAATAGGCATTATGTTCTGAGCCACCACTGCCAATTTCCGTTTCAATCATTAATAGAAATAATATTTTCCTTAGTAACACATCCAGTATTGGAATTTCTTACTTCTTCCATATTTCTGATAGTATTAAGCTTAAGTCAATCAGTCCACAGAATTCCCCAGGCATCTTAAGTATCCATTTTGCAAGTCTGTCATGGAGAATAAAGAGGACTTATGGAAAACATTTTTCTTCTTTATAGTATTTTACCTGACCCTTTTTTTTCCTGATTCCACATTGTGCAATCTAGCAACTGTGCTTTCTCACCTGGACTTCTCCCACATTTTGTTAATTATCAAAATAGTCTTCCTTTCTAGAGGTGAAAATCTAAATAGCAATTACTATAAATAACAGCTGGAGCTAACAGAAACTCTCAGAGTTATTCTTCCCTTTACAATACTGCGTTCTGCCTCTTATAACTGCAGTAGATAAATCACTGAAAATAAATTTTTCAGTTGTTAGGTTGTCTTCAGGTTGAATTTTACTTGGAAGTGTCAACAGAAATAACAAAAACCTTTTCAAAAATGAGGCTGTGGATGCATGTAACATTTTGTAAGTGATCTTTCAAAGATCCTCACTGATCTGTAAAACTTCTACTTTTAAAAACATGAAAACTGAGCAGGAAGGTAATTCCTGTATAAAAGTTTGTCTTCAGTCCTCTCAAAAATTTCCCTCCTTAGCTATAAACTGCATAAAACCGAAAGAAATTATGAGTTTTGAGAATTTCAGTTCACACATGCTCTCTTCCAATAATACCTCTTATTTTTTAAAGCTCTATTACTCATATGTGCCAGCTTAACTGGAAACTCTCCCAATTTCACAGAACAAGCAAGTTTATCCTAAGCTAAGGCTACTAAACCTCTGCAGAAATTGCCATTCCAGCTTGCTGGCAGCCCCTTGCTACCAGACACCCAATCATGAAAACAGAACAACTGTTGAGATGTTAGCATTCACACGGCATTCTGGAAGAATCAGCAATGTGAATACTAAGACCTGAACACAAAATAGTGGGGAGTAAGCCCATGCAGGTTGGGACAACCAGGAACAGAAAGCTACAGATGTAAAGGAAATCAGAAAGTAGAAGCATAAGTAAATAAAAAAAGGATCTGACAGACAAGGTGATGCCATGAAAGAACGTAAAAAACTGGCATGTAAGTGTTCCAAATTTTCTATTGTACAGCAACACAAAGCGATGAAGTCTGGTCTTGCAGCAGTGCAGAATACTGTGAGCTTCTAAACAGAAATGCATCAGCAATACATAACAAATATACAACGTTATAAAAATATCAAAACACTTGAAAAGAGCAGTGGCTTAATCTGGACGTTCACATTTCCTGTATAATTTTGAGTTTTGGAAATGAAATTTCTCTGCCTCATTTCCCCACTTGTAAAGTGGCTTTAAAAGGACAACTCAAGAAGAGTATTCTGAAGATGACTTCATTGATGTTAACAAAAAACTCAGATATTCTGGTGAAAACAATTCTGAAACTAAGTAGGTAGCTACAGTACTAAAACTAATTAGGTATATAATATTTTTTCTTTTAATACAAAATTTGGATAACCTAAATAAAATGAAATATTGAATGTTTGTTCACTTAATGGCTACAAAGGGGACAGCATGTAAAATTATTATAACATTTAAGGTTTTAGCATATCACACAGGCAAATGGCACCAAGCTACACTGCAGATAAACACTTTTAGGATTTTTGTTTTAAGAACACAGTAATACTGTGAGAGACAAGGATCCCCCTAGCTTGACATACTAGCATATTCCCAGCAAATAAAACAAGAACACTGTAATAATCTCTCTGGTATGCTTTCCCCATTTCTGGCAATTAGCTATTTTAATTTTAAAACCATTTAAAAAACTTAAAATACTGGAATTTATGGTCTTAAATTCCCTTTTAATGTAGCTTGGCAGTTATCATTTCTAAAGAACATAATCAGTATATTCAATATAGCAACATTGCCATTTATAACAACTACGAAAGTGGTTAATTTCAAACTCCAGTGCTCAAAGTGGCCTGACTTTTAATGCCTGACCATGTAGAGGTCAAGTGCAGAAAGAAAGTATTCGGCAGTGGCTCCTGTTTATGCTAGTTCAAACTGATGGTGAAATCTTGTGCAATTTACCTACAACCTAAGTCAGTAACTTTTAGAAAAAAGTATGCTCTATCTGCTATGATTAATTACATAACCACATTAATAAGCTATTTTATTCTGGCAACTTTTCCTCAATGCTTCAGAAAACTGGTGTTCATAATGTTCAGTAAGGCAAGATACACAAAAAAATAGCACAACTGTTATAATATTTAGTCTTTGAGGGAATTTTTTTCATAGTAAAGACTGCAAAAATCTTAGAAATATGATTTCTTTATAGCATATACTGTGTCTTTAGTTCTGGAAAATATACTTCCAATTAAATCTTTGAAAGTAATATACTTAGATTAATAGAGGCTGTAGAAGAGTAATTATACTCATGGCACAAATCCCATTACAGTTAGTTCTAATAGTTTGTTTCAGTATTTTGGAAACGCTTCTAAATATCTGAAAATCAAAGTGCTTTTTAAAAAGATATGCAATACAGTATCAGGAATTATTTGCATGACACTTCACCTGAATTGTCTTCCTCCACATACAAGAGATTTGGCTAAAAAATACACAAGAGGTTAAGATAGTTGTCCTAGTTTTGAAACTTTTGGCTAATAACAAATATAACAGAAGATAATTTAACAAAAGAAGATGCTGGGCAAAGGAACAAGAACTCTTAGGTGCTTTGAAGAATACATTATTTTATATATTATATACAGCCCACTGGGAGAAACTTCTAAAAGAATGACCTCAAAACAGAAAGAGTTTAAAATAAAATCAGTAAGAAGCCACTAGTTCTAGTACCAAGTTTCTGACGTAAGCATACAGTGCTTGATGAAGGACTCAAAAATGCTGAGAAGCCTGAGCTACTAAAAAGGCAACACCTAATTCAGCATGAAAAGTGACTTGCTGATAGTTTTTTAGTAGGTATGTGGGATGCTAATCCTTAATACTTAAAACTGTATCAGACTCATCTAAAGTTATTAAATGTTGTTTATGTCATTTCCTCCTTGATGTATGTTATTTTTTCTATTATCTCCTCTTCAAAGCATTTGAACTAAATAAATCTAGACACAGAGCAACTATTTTAAAATGCATTTGCTCATATATGTTGTTATGCAAAATGTTACCTTAAGCTAACACTGAAGGTAAGACAAAATGAGACAGACATACCATAAAACAATCTTCAAAAATATTAAATATTCTTTTCAATAAAATCCCTCATAAGTGATGGATATTATGCACTTATGTTCAGGCATAGGAAAACAAACAAATCATATTTATCTGATAGCTACAAGAAATTCAGAAATTGGAGTGACTGGAAGACATTGAACAGCTGCTAAGTCCTTTTCCAAACAGGGACTCAAGCCCATTAACACAACCCAGACACTACTCCTTCTTTGTCAACTATGAAGACAGGAAGTGGCCACAGTACAAACTTTGTGCTACTGTTTTGGGGGCATGAAAAGAAGAAGAGAGAATACAAATGTTGGTGCAGAAAAGACCAAGCCAGAAAAGAGCAGAGACTGTACCCTGTTGCTATCCTTAAAGATTCTACAGACTTACTCAGCCACATGACAAAGACATGTTCTCAGCACAAACACCAAAGAGTTCTGCTGCCAGTGGAAGCAAACGCAACACTGTAAAGCAAAGAAATAAAAGGCCTGCATCTCCTTTTTACAGCTTTTCTTCCTGAAGTACCTTAATGCCATGTCTATTCAGAATCTACACAAACAATGCAGCGTGAAGTTAAAACTGACATCCAAAGTTGTGTTTCATCCAGATTTCTGCAGTTCTCATAATACATGCTAGTCTCCTGATCACCCAACTACAGACTTTAACTAAAAGTCTCTTTCAAAACGCAATGCAATGACAACTTAAGTGTCATAACAAGGAAAATCAGTGGAGTAGAACATGCCATCCTCCTCCTCTTAGTAGTCATGCTCTGACTTTTGACACTCATTCTACTGAACAGCTGTGTATTTAGACGCCATCTCTGGTAAGACTATGAAACACACCAGTTCACTTTAAAAACTTCAATGCACAAAAATTTATCTTACACAAGTTTTGCTACATAGTTTCTCTCTGTATTTTGGTGTAGCACATTATTTCCATCAGTCTTCAAACTACTCTGGAAAGTCCAGATATGGGTAGATTGGGTAGATATGGTAGCACTTTTTTTTTTTTTTTTTTTTTCTCCACGGTATTAAAATCGGTGCTCTGATACAGTTTAGGTTCTTTACAAATCAAGATCTTCTGGTACATGAATCATGCAACCTTTCATTTGTAACATCATGGAAAGTCTGCTTATTCCACTGCTAACTTTTGATGAATTTAAATAGGTTTTATTCAGATGTTTTGTCTTTCCTGTCTCTCAAAAATCTACTCCTATCCTAGAAAATAATTCTAACACATAGACTTGCATATCTGGATTTCCAGAGAATGGAATTACTGGTCAAGGATTTAAATATCAATCAGTATCTCTAGACTTAACAAACATTCTCTACATCACAAGTATTTGAAAACAAAAAGTAACTCAGATATTTAAGCAAATATGAAATTCCGGTTTTGTAACTTTCCCAGTTATTTGAAATAATACAAAGACATTTTAAAGCTGTATCACTTTGTTATACATCCACTGGATAGCTGCTTCTCACAATGGTGATAGATTCCACTTCAAGTTTAATATCAAACAATCCCTGCTGTCAGCAACATTATCATATGGGCGTGCTTGATCTGCTTAACCAGACAGTAAAATTCTAAACAGAAGGGAAGCAGGTATAACTGACCTGCCTACAAGTAAATTCAATCTGAGTACTGCTAAAAAACTTCAGTATTTGCCACAGTCATCTTTGGATAACTAACACAACCCAATTATTAAGAGTATTACACAAGAAGATTCCAAAATAAGTCATGTGTGTACTTGGACACAATACTAAAACCACAAGACATGTCAGACAGCAGGCACACACTGCCTGCTGACAGACAAACTCTAGCAAATCTTGCCCCCCAGTAGTTTAAAAAGTTACCACCTCCAGCTGCCCATTCCATTCCTCAGATAAAGGTTCCTGCCCCTCTTTCTTCTTTCCTGGAAATCAACAAGAAGGAATCTGTATTGGTATTCAGCAACTTCAGTTCAAACTGTTGATGAGTTTAAACTAACCTGCTGGACTTTGCACTGAAAAAACCACTCACGCTCTTTACCACCCATTCTGCCACATAGACAGTAACCTCCTGTTAAAAAGTAGTAGCAAACCATGAGGGTAATGTCAAAATGCACACACAAGCTGCCTCTTAATAAGGATATTTAGCTGAATTTTTTGATGGCTCCATGTAACGATACAGCTGTATCAGCAAAACTTTGATGTCTGCTCATTTTGGATCTCCTTCCTTTTGTACAGTTCGTTTCTTGGGTCCAAGCAAATGTCTTAATCACCAACCACATGTCTATAGAACTTCACAGATTCCTTCTTCAGCAACTAAATCACCCTCTTCCTTAGGTATGTGGTACTACAGCTACTATGCTTTTGATATTTGAACTAGCTCAACAGAACTTTGATACTTATTTCTCTAGTATGCAGTGCTACCACCCTGTCAATCTAAATTCATGTAACTATATCTGGTATTTTTGCAGTTTTTACAGTCAATCTTTTCTTGTAATGAATTGCAAAAAATGTCACATGTTCTTACTAAATAGCTGTCTCTAAATAAATAATATATAAATTAATTGGGAACATTCAAATCCCAGAAGAGCCATGATGTGCAGATTTGGGTTTCATCACTTAAACAGTTCATACATGAGGAGCGAACTTAAAGAAATTTCCTGTTTCAACTGACAGTTTTCAGAAGACCAGATTTGCACCTGTAACTCACAACTCTGCCACTTTGAAAACTAGACAGACCTCTTCAGGTGTTTGAATTAATACTACCTGGACTTATGAAACTATTTTGGATCCATAGTATTTTTTTATTTATTTATGTATAAGACCTTTAAATTACGTCATTAAGATGAGACAGATGTCAATTATTCTAAAGTGAAAAGTCTGCTCGAAATATTTCCAAGTTGTGAATGTTTTCTGTCACCAATTTTAATTCCTTTCAAAATTGTTAATTACAGTCTACATTATAGCCTGATTCTTAATTTTACTTTGACTGTTTAACCTACTTTTTCTACATTACAAACTGTTTCTAAAACCAGAGAAATCCTCTGTTTCCTTCAACTTGATACCTCCTTCAATCTATTGTCGGATTTTCTTCTAGACTAAGTAAAAGTAGTTTCATTTGTCTGCTTTCAGTGTAAAGTATATTTTGGTGCCTGTGAATGGCATTAATAAAAAGAAATTACAAAGTCAATTTCATGACTTGGTAGGGATGAGAGCTAAAAGATTATTCTGCAAGCATATGTCACTATACGCTGACTCTCATGGCTAATGTTCATATCAGAAAGGTTTTTTCCATCCACTAAAATTGGTACCTGTTAAGTGATATCATCATGACAGAGCTAGCAAAACATTCTTTTCCTCAAGCTGAGGCATGACAGTCTCTGCTTGGTGCTTTAACAAGAGACATAAAAATACTTTGTGATGAAGAACTTGTAACTGATTTAGTGAATGGGGTAAAACCAGAGGTGGATCAGCAGCACACAGGCTTCTTGCCACAGAATGCAAAGCACAATGAAGTGTGAAAGCTTCAGCTGAATCACTCATGTATGAGAGGACTTCACCTAACATGGCTTTGTATGCCATGGAATGGGCAATAGCAAATCTGCCAGGAGCCAAAATTGAACTGCGCTGGGCTCCAAAACCTACTTAGAGTTGGTTTTGAAGCCAAGAATATTTGGTTCCATCTCCAACACAGCATTCTTACGCTGCTAAATGAGACAGTGTTATAAAATATCAAGTTCATTCTGAAATCGGAAATCTAAAATTTCCTGAGATTTTCTTGCTGGAGGACTAGCCGTAAGAATACAGAGGCAAATGAAAATTTCTGTTTGATTATCTTCTTATTCCCCATACTCTATAGATCCAAAGCAAAATAATGGAGGTGAGAATAAAGTTAGAAACAAAAACCCTTCAATGCAGTCCTGAAAGATTACTTCTCTTAGCCACAGCCTTTCTACACCAGTTGTAAAAACAACCCACCCAGACAAGGTGCTAGGTGAAAGGGGGCTGTTGCAAGAGAGACAAAAATTCTCCAAGTTGCTCATGGCCACATTTATTTAAATCTTCATCTTCACACTCAAAGTGGCCTAAGAAGCTGTGTGGCTACTATCTCTTAAAGAGTTAACATTTCAATAATTAATAAAAGACAAACTCAATAAAGGATTTAGACATTTATGGTAAAATTTAGGAAGTATATACATGGCCCTAGACCAAAAAAGTTATCTATACAGTCCTCACTTAAATAGCTAGATGTCAAAGATGCCAAGGGCACCTCAACTTTCACCTGTAAAATTAGTTAGAAATTAAGCCCCAAGAATGCTGAAGTTACTACCACCTGGGCTGAAGTTAACACCTCCTCCTCACTTGGAATTCACAAACCAGACACCCCAAAGCTCCTATCTATGTGTACCACGTTAGAACCAATCTGATTTCAGCAGGAAAACAAAGAACTCACAGTAATCTCTGTTGATGGTCAATGTCAACACTTGCCATTTTGTTTATATATGATTGAAAGGAATCACTCACTAACTAGAACATCAGAGTAGAAACATATCAACCAAAGAAAGCAAGCTACACTCTCTCAGAAGACTACTCTAATTACCAGCTGCTGACTGGGATCAATCCTGTTTGAAGTGCTGACACTATAAAAAAAGAACGTATGATTAATAGATGAAAGACTGCATAAAAGCACAACTCCAAAGTCGGATAATTCAGGGAAAGGACAGGTGAAGGGAGAATTACACATTTCAGACCTGCTCCCAATCCCATCTCTGCATTTTGTTCAATTAGTTTGTAATGAAAAACTATGAAATATCTTGAAGTAAGAACTAGTCTGAACACTGCCAGGCCTTAGGTGCTCTGCTGGTCTGGGCCTGAGTACACTGCTCAGGCACATTAAATACCTTACACCACTGCATATTGGAGATGGTCTCCCACACGTTTCAGCCTCCCCGAGATTCTATAAATTTGTTTTCATAATTATAGTATTTGACCAATTCAAACTAACACAACTTATTTAGCTGTCAGTGACTTCTGAAATTAATATTACGCCACTATTCTTGACAAAAAGAACAGATTTTATATTTTTCACAGGGAAATTTGGAACTTACCAGCAAATAACTATTGCGTATAATCCTCTTTCCTTCTTCCTTCACAACCACCTTCTTCATTTCAAAATTTTTCTCCTCTTTTAATTTTGCAATATTTCAGTCATTAAAGAGCTACAGAAGGTTTCTTTGTTATAAAACAGTAGTGCATCAGTCCCTGAATAAACTACACCATCTGTCTTCCCCTGCACATTGTGCTTTTAAGTGACAGTTATTTAAGGGTTTTACTAAAAGAAATCGAAAACTACATAAGCAACAGCCATATTAATTTGTATTAAAAACACATGCTAACATGAATTTGGCTAAACCTTTTGATTTCAGTCTTCTTTAGGTACTTGACTACTGCTTTGGAAACGTCACTACTTTACTCCTATGGGTTCTGCTTTAGTTAAACTTAAGTTTTCCTGAACAGCAGAGATGTTTAATATCTAATAAAAAACTCTGAATAGCAACTATAAGAACTAAAAGCAATAGCAAAGGCAAATGAGCCTTTTGTTTGCATGTACAAGACAAGAATAGCATTCACATTTAGAGCCACCTTTTTGATTATAGCAGAGATTTAACAACTTCTGAAATGTTAGGTTCCCCAATTTGCAGTAAAGGCTTCCTTGTTGCTTCAAAGTCCTCAAGAATTTTTGTGAAAAGTACCCGCTTTTCAGTAACTGTTGTTCAAGGTTTCAGTAACACTATGTTCCATAAACCATAAATCGAAAACCTTTACCCTCACAACAATTAATGTGTTGAATAGCAAACCAAAACATAAAATAATAACAAGTCAACAAAAACCTTTACACAAGAAACTCTCTGTGTTTCTGGAACTCTTCTGAAATATCACAAAGGTCGAGAAATACCAAATGCAAACCCACAAAGAGTTTATCATCAGAACATTGCTAAAGAGCCTATCCTCTTTGGGCCTGTGACTGATTTCATTATGGCAAATACACAGACACACAGAAACCAAGAGCATAGTGAAACCGAGGTTCCTAGCTGCAAGCAATGTCCCTACAGATACCTTCACGCCCTACATTTAATGAACAGACATGTGCTACAGATACTCAAGCTGAGTGGAAACACTAAGCATTAGTATGATCTTTTTCCTCTTCCATTCCCTACTTTTATCTGCAAAGATTTTTCTTCCCTGAATCCTAGACCTGACTCTCAGTTACAGAGGAGGAAAAGAAACAGCACCACCATTACACAACATACAAATTTCAGAATGGCCTGGCAGTCCACACCTCCTTCTCCCTATCCCCTCAGTCACCATGAGGACTTTCACCTTTTTAGACCTCTGTATCTGAGCTCCTGGATTTACAGCACTGGAATCTTAGGGTTGGGCAGAGAAAGTTGTATTTAACTGAACCACTGCTGACACCTATTGGCCACCCTGAGAAATCTGTGTTAATCAGGCCTGGTGTAATGAATTCAGTGAAGTATGAAAAAAAAAAAAAAAACAACAACAAACAAAAACAAACAAAACACCAAAGAAAGAAAGAAAGAAAGAAACAAACAAACAAACAAAAAAAAAAAAAAAACAAACAAACACCTCTGTACAGAGTCTCTCTGCTCCCAGTTCTCAGACTCATAATGTTGGGAGATCCTGGGAGCAGGAATGAGCAACAAGTAAGGGGCTTGGAAGGGCAGTTATAAACCACCTCACTATGTAAACCAAGCTTTGCTAGCACCAACGTGAAGTGAAATTTCAACCAACTCGGAGGAGTAACTGCCTCATTCTGCAAATGATGGAGGATCACCAAGCCATCTGGTAAAGAAAAAGGACCCCAATGACATGCCCTGCTACTAAATGAAGTTTCTAGACAAGACGGTTTACATACTGAATATGTACATAATGAAGTGGAAATGAACAAGCACATCCTACAGGAAACAAGGTAGTGAATGGCGAGTCGTATCACCAGTAACAGCAAGGTACAGACATCAAGTGAAAAAACAAGCTTTCACCTCAAACGTTATTTACATTTTATTATATAAATGCTAAAATCCACCAGAGCTACAAATACCAACTTGCCTCTAAAAATTAATGCCCTAGATACACAGCAGGTGGCAATTAATTCATAAAAAATGTTTCAACATGTAACCCTTTTTTTTTTCCCCAAAGTTATGAAGGAACTAGGGCAAGAACACGTACTGCCAGTGTTACTGGTGGCGAGTCCCGCACAGCGACCCCGGGAAGCCTCCACCAGGCCCCACTCCCCGCGGACGGCGCTGCGCTTCCTCTGCGCGCTGCCCTGAGAGGCCGCGGCGGCGAGCGGCGCTGGGGCCCTGCCCACAGCCACGCCCCTGCGGCGCGGCCTCACAGAACGAAAATAAACTACCCACACCTTACTATTATTATTATTATTATTATTATTATTATTATTATTATTATTATTATTATTATTATTATTATTATTATAGACCGAACCCCTCAGGGCCGCGGGGCGGAGGCGGGAAGGCACCGCCCCCACCGCGGGCGCAGGCGCGGTGCGGGAGGGGCGTGGCCTCGCCGAGAGCCCGCCCGCCCGGGCGGGGCCACGCCCCTTCCCCCGCCGGCCGGCCGTGCACCCTCTCCTCCCTCCGCCCCTCCCTCCCTCCCTCCGCGGCTCCAGCGAAGGCGCCGCCGCCCGTTTTTTTTTGCCGCCGGGCCCGCCGCCGCAACCCCTACCGCCCCCCTCCCCTCCTCCTCCGAGCAGAGGCTGCGGCCCGGCCGAGCGGGGAGATGAACACGGTGCTGTCCCGGGCCAACTCGCTCTTCGCCTTCTCTTTGAGCGTGATGGCGGCGCTCACCTTCGGCTGCTTCATCACCACCGCCTTCAAGGAGCGCAGCGTGCCCGTCAGCATCGCCGTCTCCCGGGTCACGCTGTGAGTGCGGGCGGCTGAGGGGAGCGGGGTGGCGGAGGAGGACCGGGCCGGGCCGGGCCGGGCCGGGCGGCGGCTGCCCGCTGGGGAGGGGAAGGGTTCGCCGGGGAGCCGGGGGCTCTTCCCGGGCTGCCCGCCGCGGTGCGGCGGGTAACGGCCGGGGCGCGTGAGCGGGACGTCAAGCGCCCGGCCGCGGGACGGCGCAGAGGGACGAGCGGAGGCGCCGCTGCCGCTCCCGCTCCGGCGGCCGCTGCCGCCCCGGCCGGCGCCGCCAGGATCGCCGCTCCTCCCCGCCTGCTCCCCGCCAATGGCGGAGCCCCACGCCGCCGCTCCGCCGCCTCACGCCCCGGCCGCCGCCCCGCGCTGCCGGGCTGGAGGTGCTGGCGGGGGCCTGCTCGGGGCGGGCGGCTTCCAGGGGGGGCGAGCCAACTGCTGCTCTCGACAGCTCGGAGGGGGCAAGGACCTAAACCAGCCTACGGTTCATCTCCCCAGCACCTCCTTTCTTTTTTTTAATTAGTAGTGCCCTTTTTTTTTTTTTTTTTTTTCCCCCACTGGTAATGTGTTTTCTTTACGGCGAGCTCAGTGACAGTAGCCTGACAGGGGCGGTTTATCGGCCTGGGAAGTGCACCAGGTGTAGAATGCCTAACACCGCATCAGAAGCATGTTGCCCACATGACAGGATGTGCTGATGCAAACTTGTGCCGGGGGAACCTTTTTCACGATTTCTCTCTCTTTTTTTTTTTTTTTTTTTTTTTTTTTTTTTTTTTGAAAAGGAAACCGTCACAGGAAACTTCCATATAGTTAAGTGTGTATGGTGTGAGGGACTGTAGTTTCATGAGCTGTTGAGCAGCTGCTGCTGCCACCAGAAAGTGGAGGTCTTTGCTGCCGCTTCTAGCCACATGGTCCTTTACCAGAGCTGCTCAGGCGAATGGGGCTCGCAGGATACTGAGCTGCTTTAACTCAATTAACGAGTACGTTTAGTTCGGTTTTGGCCAAGTTAGTGAGTTAAAGCAGCTGGTGGAGCTTTGGGCCACCCCAGGGCACGTGGCAGGAGTGGCCGGCTACCAGCAGGGTTTGAAAGGGGAAGTGAATGCAAGTAAAGGGTGGGAACTGCCCTCGTTTTTTGGATTGCTTTAATCTCTCAGCAGAATAAAAGCCGTATTTATGCTGGATTGAGGATTGCAAACAGCATAAAACCAGCATAAAAACATATTTTTGACTGTTCTGGTGAGCTTGACGTATATGAGGTATCATACTAATGTCTAATTTGGATGAAATTTATAGTGCCTTCCATGATGCTTTTCTTGAACTTCTGAGAAGTTCTGCACACTCCAGTTTTAAGGCCTGTTTCTCCAGCAGATTGACAAGGACAGAAATGAAGTCAAGTACTTGAGATGGGTTACTTCTTAAAGAGATGTTCCTTTTTTGGAAAGGGATGGAAATTCATAGCAAGGCTTAAATTGAGAAGTTTTGGGTGGTTTTTTTCTTAACTACTTACTGTCTCCAAAAGTGTTTGTTTTTTCTGCTGGTAAACTACTTTTTTTCTTTGAGGTGGCTAAGCTTTATTTTAATGAAATGTTATTTTAATGGGCTAATTTTCAGACTGGAATAAATGTAAGAAGTTCTTAATTCATAAAATTTTTGTTGTATTAGAAGTTAAGGTTCATAGCTGATTGCCAACCTGCTTATGGTATTCCTCTTTGTAGAGGCTAAGTTTGGTAAACTGATAAGCTTTGTGAATACATATGAAAATATCTTCTGCATCTCTGTTATTTTTCCAGTTTCTTTTTCTAGTGTGGTTCAGTGTGGCAGTGTCAGATATTTCTCCAACTATGGATTTGTAATAATAACGTAGATGAAAATAAGCATTTTCTTAACACTGCTACTTAAATACATTCCAGTGAGAAATCTTACAAATTGTGTGAAATACAAATAAAAACTCTGTTTTATCAGAATGGTTGAAGTGTCTTGTATGAGACTGAGCACTAGAGGTTTTTTTGTGGAAAGTTAAGAAATAATATTGAAAATGGTCACAAGCAGGGAGCTATGCTGCCGGTGTTCCGATCAGCTTTATATATTTGGAGTTAGCTAACACATATTTTTACTAAAGTGAAATGTAGTGCACTGTAGGTGCAGACAGATGCAGATTTTTGTTAACAGGAAAAAGTCTACAGGCTATTTGTATAACTTAGACTATTGTGGTGGCAAGGCCTGACATTCAAAATTGGCTATCAATTTCTAGAAGGCAGGAATGTTTAGTAATGTTGATAATATTTTAGCCAAAAGTATTTAAAAGAAAGTACAGAAAATGGATGAGAGAAATATATAATAATAATAATAATAATAATTTATGTAACACATGAAAGAGAAATAATAAGAAAAGATAATCCTACGTTTTGTTTTGTCTTAGAAAAAATGTAGAAGATTTCACTGGACCTAGAGAAAGAAGTGATCTGGGATTCGTCACATTTGACATTACTGCAGATATCCTTAATAGAAAAAATGGTTTACAAACGTTCTGAAATAAAAATATCTTGACGTCTGTTTTTGTTACCTTATAATCTTTACATATCTGGGACTTGAGGAAAACTAGCAATTTATCTTAAAATATAAATTTAAAGCAGTGAAAAGTAGTATTTACATAGCTAGGGCAATAAAATAGAACTTGGAATGACTGTTCTGTCTCTAGTAGATGACACGGGGCAAGTTTTCTCTCCTGTTTTTTAATGTCTGTTTTTAAAATAAGGCTCTATAGTGAAGTGCACTGTATCTAGTAATGGGAACTGCATTTTAACATCTGGACAGTATTACCATTAAGTGAAGTTTGTATTGGTGGTTTGAGGTATGAATCAAATAAGGGTTTATATAACATACTATTTTGACTGTCATACTGTATCTAGAAACTCCAATGCACCTTTCAAACTCATTTTGTTGTGGCTGTCAAAGTTCTGGCCATGTAATAGTTACATACAAGTACCTGTCTTCCTTTAAAAATAAAAAGACATTTTAATCCTTTATGTGCTTAGATGTTAAGCTATCAAATCTTTAACGTTGAATAATATGAAATTCATTGGGAAGCAGATGAGGTACTACAAAATTTATCACATTACTTACTTGGTCTCTTTTTCATTGCTGTTACCTTTTTGTGACTTTTCTTTTGTATTTCTCTGCTTCCCTGTTAGTCTGGTTTTTATTGAGGAAAGAGGGTTGTGGGGGGGGCTGTTTTGGTTTTATTTTGGGTAGGTTTTTTGACAGTAGAAGGGAATCATTTTTAGGATTTAGGGTCTTGACATAAAAAAAAAAAAATCTATTTTTCTGCAGAAATGAGTACAAAATATGAGGCAGGCAGCATGCTTTGCCTCAGGTGATTCCATTAAGCCTTGCTTTACAGCTGGGCTGAGATTCCTGGGATTTTTCTGTCTGCTGTTTTTTGTCACTGTTAGGCAAGACATTGATTACCTCTGTGTTTCAGTTTCCCTGTTCTAGAGAATCGTACATTGTGCAAGCAAACCAAACAACATAAAAGTATTGAGTGCTTGTGAATGCTGGATAAACAGGTTAATCAGATTTTTGCAGGTGTGTTACACAGGAATAAGAGGGATTTTTTTTTTTTATCAGCTGGAAGCAGATGTGAACTCTTAAGTCTGAGTTTTAACTGAATTTTTACCTAAAATTCTGAAGTAGGCATATTGAATTGTATGTGGTATATATAGGAGAAGACAGAGCAAGGAGGAACAGGACCTCTAAAAGAAAGGTTCTTATACATAGACCAGTCTGTAGTATGTGGACTTAAAGATACCATGTTTTAATGATTTTAATAGTAGCAGTAGTTTTGGGGCTTGTTTTATAAAAACCTCAGACTTATCTTTCATGCCTGGCACAAATGAACTGCACAGTGTGTAGAGTTGTAAGATACAACTTTCTGGTAGTTTTTTTTTATTTGGACAAAATTTGTATAGAGATACTGGTGCATGGGTTCTCTTAACTAATAGAAACAAGTGGCTAGTCCTAGAAGAATTAAATAAAATAATATGACAGTTAGAAACCAAGAAACTAGGGGAAAGAAAGGGGAAGAGACAGTTTTAATAAACTCGTTTTAGCTTACTTAATTTGTGGCTATCAAGTGTTAAAAAATCCTACAAAGGAGATCTTCAGAATCTTGTTTGTTGTTTTGAGTTAGATGACGAAAAATGTTCAAGTAAAATAGCTCTAGCTATTCTCACAGCAACAGCAGATAATTATTTAATTCTTTCCTTACTTGCCTTTTGAATTAGTGGCTTAAAAACATGGTTCAGTCTTGGGATGAGTGAAACAAGCAGATTTTGCTGCTGTTGGGGAATCTATTTAATTTATTCGTTGGGATAGTGGCAAGTAGAATAGAAAAAGATGACTGGAACAAAAGTGAGTTAAAAGGTCTTTAGCAGTCACATAGTACATTTTATTGCTAAATAAACAGACAAGTATTTAGAATAGCAGCTTTATTACACTGAGAGTCTCAAATGGCAGCTGGCTGTTCTTTACTGTTGATCAAAAATCTGAGCAGTTTTGCCCCAGTCTAGTAAGTTGACTTTCTTTGTAGTAAGTAGGTAATTAAATTTGCTAATTCCTGATGTCCCTTCCAATATGAAATATTTCCCATCTACGAACTTCTCTAATGTGGGTATTACAGGCTCTTTGAACTCTCTGTGTTCTGTCAATTTTGAGTTGGATACCAGTTGACAGTATAAATCATCGCTTTGAAGATATTTACTGAAGATTTCTGTCATGCCTTTTATGTTTAAGGTTTTATAATAGATAGTCTAGCAGCAGATCATGGTTACTAGCTTGCAGTGTCATATACAAAACTTAAATCATTGGGGGAAATAGCCATTGGATTTCTTAAATAGTAAAAAAAAAAAAAAAAAAAAAAAAACCAAAAAAACCCCAAAAAAACAAAGAAAACACCTGTCACTTTCATAGGATTAAAATATGTTTTAGAACACCTGGAAGTGCTCTGATTTATAAATGCAATGAGATATGTTGAAAGGTAAGAAGTCACTGTAATTACCACAGTCTATTCAGATCTCGTAAAAATAAAACAAGGTTATGTAAGTACAATATGGTATTTTTCTTAACTCGCATACATCTGCAGAGTATATTTGACTGGAATGTTAAACAATTGTTTCTATATTTGTCTGCAGAATATTCAACGAAAAACAATGTAAGTATCAAAAAGAAAGTTGAAGCAATTACCCTTTTTGTATTGCAGCTATTTTTAACATTCTGAAGTTCTGCAGGGAAGAGTTAAGGCACCAGCATTTCCTACTAGTTTGGACTGTTTCTACTGGCCTTCCATGATTGTTATTTTCTTGACAATTTAACTGCTGAATGGGAAGTTCACCCTCATGAAACCTAACTTGGTATGTTCTCAGCAGAGCAGGAGAAAAGTAACATGTGCCTTGTTCACTTACAATAGTGGACTGTAAATGAGTAAAAGTGACTTACATTTACAATTCAAAAGGAAAACCCATCATAATTTGTAAGACTTTGAAAGCTTATGACTTTTTTAAATGGCTTTTTTGTGTTTTATTGAGCTGTTCTTTGTTGTTTCCATTTATTCTATGCCACACTTCAGTGTGTAGTAGTACTAGTTTCCCTCCTGTAAAGCATTTTTCTGTTAAATTAGTTGTGGAGTGCAAGCATGTATTTCAGCTTCAGGGGTTTTGGATGAACAATGCTGTGAAATTCTGATGACTGAATATGATCTTGTAAGGTACCTTGCCAACTTAATTACAATTGTATTTTTAGGCTCTAAACCAGGTGGTCCTTTGGGACAAGATCATGTTGAGAGGAGATAACCCAAGGCTGTTCTTAAAAGACATGAAGTCAAAATACTTTTTCTTTGATGATGGAAACGGTCTCAAGTAAGTAAATCACATTTTTATTATTACTATTATTCATGGTGTCTTGATTTACTTGCATACCTGGCATTTTATATGTTTATATTCCTGTGATAAGGTACCTATATTCTATCTGATATTCTGTAAGTCTGTTGCATCTTTGTAGTTTGATTGTTACAAGATGACTTTGGAATACAAGATAGCTCTTTGTTCTGTAGACTAGAAGATGGACTGCTAATATGAGCAATAGGCTTCTGGGTTTCTGCTTTCAATATTCTTGTCCATGTAGAATTGGTTCTGTGATGCCCTCAACTCCAAAGGAGTGATGTAACAGTAAAAAAAAAAAAAAAAAAATACTTCGAAAATGGTGATACTTCATGAAGTAACTACATAAAATTTAAAAGTCCATTGTTTCTGGATCAGGAAAACAATTTGTATCCTAATTTATTTACTATTAATAATTATTAATTAAATTGACTAACTTGAGTATTTTTGCTGATAGTCTTTGTTGCTTTTGCAGGGGAAACAAGAATGTCACTTTGACTCTCTCCTGGAACGTTGTACCAAATGCTGGCATTCTACCTCTTGTAACAGGATCAGGACACGTGTCTGTACCTTTCCCAGATACCTATGAAACAACAAAAAGTTATTAAATTATAATACTGAATCCTAAACAAGATATTTTTATACTTGTATATTATGAATAAACTTTATTGGAGTTTCTGCTCACATCCCATGCAATCCTTCAGTGAAAGGTACTCAATTTCCTCAGGTCTAACAGCATAGGAAAGGAAGTGAAAGTTCATGTGTTTGGTTTGTTTTTTTTTTTTTTTTGTTAAATAAAAAAATTGAAGCTGAATCTTACAGGAAAGGTAAATTGTAGAGTAATGGGTTTGGGGGGAAAACTGAGGAGATTTTATTTTTTTTTTTTTTTTCTCCTGGCCATCTGGGTATAGATGTCCTTTTCTTTTAAATAAACATTTTTAAGCCAGAAGATAGTCTTACTGTGGTTTCTTGATGTACTGTGATTAGTTACATAATCTGTGTAGAACTTACACATCTTCTGCAGTCAGTTTCTGTGAGTGCCTGAAGGAAATGGCTATTCTGTTTTACAGCATTTTGTTAAATGCGCATGCTTAGCATGTTACAGTAAGGTACACCTGGTCCTTTTCAGGACTGCCAACAGCTCCTGTGAAACCTGATAGTCTGTTATCTGTCAGTCGGCCATCTGTCTGTCAGTCGGCCTGTAGATCTTGTTTTGAGTGCCACTGATGTAGTCCACGTGCAGTTCCATATTATAAAACATTTTAACAACTGCTTGTAGTGCAGCTACCTGGAAGAATAAAAAGGTATCTATCTTTTTAGTGTATGAAGCATAAGTCAGTAAGAAAAGAAAAAAGCTTTAGGTGAAGAAAGACTGTCTACAAAAGCAACCACTTGATTTTTTTATTGGGATATGCTCAGCAGAAAGAATGAATACACTTGTTACAGAGAGGGTTGGGGCAACTAAGGTTAGAGGGGCCCTTCCACGGCATTGAATGGGACAGATGTTCTCCAAAACAGTCTGGGAAAACAGTTAAGAAGTAGAGGGTTTCCCATGGGAATATGGAGAAATCGAGGCAGACTTACTAGCTTGAGTATTATGGATATGAGTCTAGGGGCAAGTCTTCCTGATCTGCATCAATCCGGAGCGGTAGCACGCGGCGTGTAGCAGTTCCAGCCAGCACCTCTGCTGATGTGGCCTCTGGGGCTGCACGTCCTGTGCTTGGTGCTCTTCACTCAGCTACAGCTGCAAACACTTGTCGTGGTTGGGAGGACAGAAAGAAGGAGGGACTCAGGGTTGCCTCTGGGTGATGATGGTTTATACTGATTGACCAGTGTCTCATGCTCCTCATGTATCCAGAGGTGGAGCTCTTGACTCTTGCCACCTTCCTGACAGTCCTTAATGCACATGCATATTCAAACAAAATATGGTAGAAGTTAATTTATTGCCAAATGTTGAATGTTCTGAATGTACTGGGTACCTTAAAAAACATAACTCTGAAAAAAACATAGCCTGAAATTAAAACTATAATTTTTTTAATACAGCAAATAAGAAAAAATAATAGGAAAAAAATAAGAGAATTGCAGTATGACAAACCTTTCAAAAGAAGAGATACAAAAGATTGGAACAGAGTCTTCCACTTTGTTGTGAGTTCACCTAAGAGTTGACAGATTTTGAGGAAGCCAACTTGCTTTTAAAAAGGGACCTTTAACATCTGTGAATTATCCCTAAGTGACTATTTAGTACATTCTCCATGTTGGTGTTTCAGTCAGTGGTGTTGAAAAAAATACAAAATTTTTCTCTTTTTACAAAGAAAAATCTTGTGTTTTAAGTGTGAAAACTAAAAGAACTTTCACATGAACATTTTGGGACAATTTTTCTCTTGCATTCAGCATATTTACATGAATTTCAGTTCTCTGAACTTGTGATGTTTTTCACAGAATAGCATAATCAGCACACTGAAATATGTCCTGTTTTTCTGTGCTTTGATATCAAATGTATATATTGTACTAAAAACTTAACTGTTAGAGAGAACCTAATACTGTTACACAGGAGGGAAACAAAAACATTACTTTTTAAGAGACAATTGGGCAGTTTGTTAATTTCCGAGTAAGCGGTTGGTTTATTCATAAATTATATTCCTGAAAAATTTACTGAAACTTACTTCTTGGGGTTTGGAATTCAACCACTTCCCTGTATTCCTTTGGCAGTATTCTTCCAATTCATATAACGGCTGGATGTAAAAAAGATGCTTTTAACTACAAAGACAAGGATCCTCTGTCAAAAACCATCAGAGATAAACCTTCTTTCCTCCAAAATTGTGTATTCTTCCCAGCAGATAGCAGAATTTAAGGACACTGAAATTGTAGCTTTAAACTTGATGCTTGGAGCTTTTCTAGCCTTTCCCAGGGAAGAGAAATTACGGTGTTTGAGGTAAGCTCTTTAGAGGGATGAAGAAGAAACCATCACTGAGTTTTCTAGTTCTTGGAGAGGAGAACTCGGTTTTATCCTGAGGGAAAGGCCAGCATAGATGAACACTTAAATGATACTGCAATAGCTTGCTCTGTGCTTCTCAGCCACTGAGCGGGACAGGATGCTCTCTGTTCTTTTCTTGGTTCAGGGAGCAAGGAGGCAAATTCCTTGGTTTGTCTCTTTAAAGCCCTTCAAAAAGTAAAACGACTACTGTATTTAATTGTGACAAGTCTTAAACCATTTCTAAAAAGAACACCCTTTTATGGAAACAAATAGCATATTTACTTTCTCTTGCCTCTTCTGATACATCCTATAAAAAGTATAATTATTGCTGACAGCTGATTGTTCTCTCAGATGTGTTGGTAACTAAATAATGATGGCTTAGCTAGTGACATGTACAAAAGGTGTGTTCCCTAGCAACTGATTAATGGGAAAAGGCTTGAAACTGTTCTGTAGGAAATTTGAACTGAAAACACTTCTGATGCATTTCAGATATCAATTTACTGAGGTTCTGGAGACAGCAGTTCTTGTCTAAGGACTGAAAAATACCAAATCTTAAAGTGGCCCGGATTTCCATTTACTGGTGAGAGCACACAGCACAACAGAGAAAGCCCTATGAGGGAAAGGAAAATAACTTTTTAAAATGTATTTAGGGCTCTGCTCCCCTGCACACAGGGTCTTACGGATTGCACTATAGCTATTGAAAATAGAAAGACATTGAGAAAATAATTGCTTCTGACTATTGGTTGTTTAAATAAGTTTCTTCTGAATGACACTAAAGCTAGCTATTACATTGCTAAACAGCCAGATTCAAGTAGAGTTCCTGCATTGTTTTTGGATTATAAATCTTGAAAATGTTATGCTTCTGAAAATTATTTCAAGAGAGGTTTTGCAGGAACAGTTCTGTAAAATGAAAGCTGTTTAGACTAAAAATGCAGCTATTGGAGGAGCAACCTTACTCCAAATTTATGTCATAAAATACATAGAAAATATCTATGTGTAAGTCTTTGATATTTAAGGAATGTTCTGGTTTATTTGGCTTTAGTTTGGAAGAAAATGGAGATTTTTCTCCCTTAAAAAGTTTAAAACTTTTTAAAATTGTTTCATGAAAACAAATGGCATTCACTTCATCTTGTCTCTTCTCATACAGTTTAAAACTTTTTGAAACATTTAAAACTGTTCATGCAAACAAACAAACAGGCATATATTTTTTAGCATGAAGAGTCCCAGTGTAAGTACACGTAAATGCTTGTATTACGGTAGTCACATCAGGCATATTTATATCAAGCAGAAAAAATCAAAACCTTAGCTTGAACAAGCCAAACTGCTGCTGGATTTTTTTCTGGCCTCCAGTGCCACCTGCTTCCCTAGGACCATTTTTGTGAATCTGCACTTCTTGAAGGGATGAGGCACAGGTGAAGATGAAGTAGGCATTCCATAGTTAAAGTGTCTTTTTCCCTTAATATTGGGTCACAGTGATTATTCCTTTTATGCAAGTTACCATTTAGTTTATCCACTAATAATTGTTCTTAATTAGCAATTCTTAATTCATTTCGCTTCATATGGAAAGATGGTCAGAATTTTTTTTCTCTATTCTGTTTGTTCCAAACTCCATCAAAGTTGCATTTAACGATTTCTTTTTCCAAACATTAATGGTCTAACAATTCTATCACCTCTATGCGTTAACTATTGAGAAAACAAACAAAAACACTCCTCTGAATCAATATAGTTACATTATTCAGATTTACAAGCTATTGATTCAAAATAAAAATAATGGAGCCAAATATATCTTTAAGAGAATATTTCAAAACTCAGATATGGTCAAAAGGGGGGTTTCTGACCTCCTGACCCTTTTCCGTCCCCCAGCTCCGTGCTAATGACACACACGAGGGTCACCTGGAACTACCCTCTGCTTTCCAGCTGTATCCCCTTGTGCTTGTTAGCAGTGCTCCAGGCCATCAATTCTGAAGAAATAGCTGGTACTCCCTTCAAATCATAAAACTGTCAGAAATGGATTAGAAAGTACACAATCCCAGCGCTAGAGGACCATGACAGTGAGTAAGCTTTGGTAATTTGAAGACATATTTATAGTATACCCATAACTTTGTTAACAGCAATTATCATATATTTTCCAGTTGTAATCCAATGACTTCCAAGTGCTTTACAAGAAGAATCCATGTTTATTTCCAGAAAGAGGCTGGCATTCTCAAGCCATACTGGAAATGCTTATTAGCTATGTATTAACTAGAATTGCCTGGGACGGTACATGATGAGGCTTCCGTGGGCTTCCACCACCTGGCTGCACAGGTGGTTGACAGGCGAACGGGTAACTGGGAGCTCTTAATTAGGGGCTCCAAACTGGGGACCCTTTTTGCAGAACCAGGCTTTGAACTTAACCCATGGGGTTTGGCTTCTGCAGTGCATCAAGGACGACAGGTACAGTGTTATTATTTCTGTCTGCCTTTTTGTTCAGTGTTTTTTCTTGTTTGTTTAGTGGGGTTTTTTTATAAGTGACTGTTACGGCCTTAGGTGCTCGTGCAGAGGAGAATGAGTTGGATTTCATTATGCAGGAAAGGTTTCAGAGTGTGTGGATAGTTCTTATGAGAGAGAGAAGGGATTTGGATGTGGCTATGGAAGATCAGTTCAGAAACGTGTGTTTGGTTTAAGTGTAGAAAATAATTGCTTTTAAGAATGACTTGTATTAGAAGTAGTTATGAGTGGCTGATAAGGCAGGCACATAAAAGATCTTTATTGTGTAAGGCAATAACTGAAGATTAAGATAAAACTAGTTTAAATGTGATTGCGAAGTAACAGTGAT